ACCCAGGGAATTGAACCACCAACTTTGCAGCCCAACACCTACCCCACACCACCCCTTGTGCAGAGGGGATGTCCCTCAGTATCCTCCAGCCTCAGCCCAAGCTTGGAGCTATCCGTGTTCCCTCACCTTAAGGGGTTGTCTGTGAACCATCTGTCCTGTTCTACGTTCCCCTATCCCTTCTCAAAGCTCCACTCTGGAACTTTCCAGGTGCACAAGACAGGAACTGTGAACCTGACCCCATCGAAGGCAGCTTGACCCAAAGCTCAGGGTTCTTGACATTGAGAACGGACGATCTGAGTGAGCGGGGAGCTTGGACTTCCTTCTCAAAGGAACCTTGACCGTAATCTCACCTGATTTTATGTGTCAATGTCTACATGGCCAGCTGTGCTTGTAAGGAGATGCCAGGATGCATCGAATCCTCTTTCAATAGACCTTGTAGATGGTCCACACACAGGAAGTTTAAAAGCACAGCCAGGATGCCTCTTCTTTGGGCCAATAATGTCAAAGCCTGTGGCTGCAACAGCAGAGTTATCTCATTAGGAAGTGGTAGCTAAGAAAAATACCCCAGAGTGAAGGTGACCTTGTCGTTTATAAAGCAAGTGAAATGTGTCCTCAGGCAACAGGAACTCCTTGAGCCAGAAGCTTAATCACGTGATGAAGACACTCCATCCCAAGCCACGTGGCCGTATCTGCCAAGCACCACAGCATAGGCCCTGAAAAAGGTCCAAGTCCCGTCCTGATGCCTGGGAGGAATTCACAAGTGGCCTAATATTCCAGAGGGGTATTCCATAGTCACAGCAGGTTACAATCAAAATCTGCCTGAGAACTCCTTGCTATTTCCTTGTACGTTAAAATGTCTTACGCAGGAACTATCACCTCTTCTCTGAACCTGTGTTAGTCAAGACCCTTGTTTGCAAGGAACCCTAATTCAACTCAAGCTCATTTAAGCTAATCGTGAAGATAAATGTTCTCATAACCCAGCGAAGAGGCTGACGGAAGTGGGGCTGGCTCTAAGGACGACGGGAGCCAAAGGCATGAGAGTCATCAGGAACCTTGCTGGTTCTCGTCTCTGCTTTTCTTTGGATGTTGAGCATGTCTCTTGTGAACAAGGGTCCTTCCTAAGAGTGTCATTCTGGGGATACTCCTAATAACTATATGGCCCTGGGTGGTGGGGGGAGGGGGAACAGGGATGCATCACCCAATTCCAACTTTGAAACGTTCTCAGAAAGACTGATT